ACTTCCTAACAATGTGCATGTTTAATGTTTTAACTTTAGGGTAGATGTAACTGTATACATCCTTGCAAATTAAACACTCTGAACATGTAAATGTATTATCTCTGACATTGAAACACACATGTATAAACCCTTCCAAATTAAACTTTGTAAAAATCTTTATGTGTAGATTTTGGGATAAAAATAAAATTTCAGAGAATATTATTTAGGACCACAGTAACTTAAATAAAATCATTAGAACTTTAAATTTGTATCTGAGAAAGATATACTTGAAGACAATTATATTTACCCAAGGTAAAAATTATGGCTTTTCTTCACACCTTCAAAACACATACTGTTTAAAAAAAATGTCATACATGCTATAATGTGTTTCTAATAGCATGTGGTAAGCTAACTGATTTTGAGACTAAAGATTGCTCAGTCTTGTTGAGAAAAGGAACTAGATATTTGATTGGAGAATTTGAAATATTAATTAATTTTTAATGAATACCTCTCTTTGCTTAAAGTTTCTGAATCTAACATAACTATATTTTAAGTGAACTATCTCAAAACAAATTACAATTTCAACTAGTTCTACCTTTAATCAATCTCACTCCACTATCTTACTCCAAACTCTAAAACAGCGATAAGAACATTCACTCATTGCTAAGAACAAACAAAGACAAATATGAATGCCAAAATAGTAAGCTCACAATTTTTTTCCCCCAAAAGTTCTAAACATACTTATAATTTTCTCATAGTGTATTCAATAATCTGTTATGCAATCACTATTGGCTCCGAATTTTGGCTGTTTTTGGCTGAGTAAACCGAGACCATTCTAGCTTAACTAAGTTTTGCCTATGCTCCACAAAAATTTGGCTTGATCACACATCACATTATTCAAAGACTATAATAACACTTAACAGCCAAACAGCTAGCAAATATTTATATTACAAAACTTGTCAAAAGAAGCAAAATAACATTAAAATAATATACTAGGCTACAACAATACAGGTCTGTGAAGTCTTGAAATTTTTACATGTTCTACGGTAATTCCTGTATGCTGAATCCATAAATGATATCCATTTTTCTGCATCACGTACAGATTTTTCAAAAAACATCATAATATGATACATAAAAGAAAGACCACAACACATACTTTTGAGACTAAAAGATGTAGATTTCACAAAAAAGAAAATCAGGATGAATGAGGATGCATATTCGTTTGACATCAATATTCTTCCCTTTTCTTCAGTTTGTTTGGAAGTTTGTTAACAAAAATAAAAATAAAAAATGTCATTGTGGTAAACGAAATAATAATTTGATCTAGGTAAGAGTTTTTCTCTTCCCGATTTGTACAAAATCCTTATATGAAAGAAAAAATGAATATTATTTTTGAAATCTGCATAGCTAAATAATGGAAAATATGTTATTAAAACCAAAACAACTTTTATGAAGTTTAAATTTGTAGGCCTGTGTAATCAATAAATAAGTACAGTAGATGTTGAATCTACTTATCTTTTGTATTTTGAAACCAAAAATGTGGCATAGAAGCTATTTTCATTCTGGATCCCTAAAAAAGAAAACTAATCTGTATTTTAGTCCTTTCAATGGTCTTTTGGAAAAAACACTATGATTTTGTCACATTTTACACACACACAGATACATCTAAAAATTTTGATTTGTCTTTAAAATTACACATTTTTTAGACCCTATGAGGTTGAAGTAACAGACTTTAAGTATAGTTATCCTACATCTAATAGAATAAAAAATGCTTATTTTTCTTTATCAACAGTTTACATACTTAAAAATTTCTAATCATAGGAGAATAATGCATAACTTACAACAGTTAATGTATATCATTAACAAATTAAAAAAGTAATATATATATAGTATTGAGATTTCATATTTAGCACAAAATAAATTTAATTATCAAACTACATTACTAACCACATCTGGAAGAGCTACAGATCTTCCTATAATTATTTCCTGGTCAAACAAAGGATTTCTATAAGCATAACTCATTTGAGAATTCCTCTTTGAAGAATTTATACTCCCTGCTGAACTTACTCCACTGTCCACAGATAGTGTTGGAGTGTTCTGCTTGTTAGGTAACTTTGGCGCACACACAAAATTCCGATAAGTTGGCTTCATTGTTTCCATCATAGGCTAACATAGAAAAAATTTAATCAATGAATGAATTTACAAAGAAAGTAACTATACAACACAACTGTTAATTTTTCTATTTTATTATGAGAGGGTCATCACATAGCTACTTGAGCAAAAGAATAATGTGAATAAAAAAGCATGATTTACACAATTTATTATTTTATAAGGTGTACAGAAGGTCAAAGTTCATTATATTAAAATTATTTTGAACATACAAGACAGCAAGTAAGATTGCAGTTAATATTGCCTCTGTGGAATGCATGTGTGGCATTTCATAGGTAGTGTAATGAAATTCAAAAGTGATTGCTTTTGGGAAGGGTATGCAACATCCCTTTCTGACACAAAATATTCATACACTTAGATTATACACATGTAAAAATGAGTTCATATTTGATATTTAGAATTTTCAAGACAGGGATATCATTTGTTCTTAATGGCATTGAAAAACAAAGAAATATGGATCACATTCAGGCACTGGGAAAATCCAGAGAAATACTGCAAGAAGTCATATCCTAGCCTTGGTAAGTAAAATGTGCCATCTTGTAACAGGTGTAAATCAACAAATGCAAAGACCAGTGGCAAAAGCCATCTACATACCCCAGGCAATAGTACACACCATAATTAAGAAGGACCTCCATCTGAAATGAGACTAACAGGGTATGGGTTCACCAAGAAAAAGTTTCCAATCATACCTTCCACTCAACCATCACATACCTTAAGTAGTTGTAAAATAAAAGTGGTATTCATGCTACTGCATACAAAGACATAGTAGTCAATTTGTCAAATGCAGTGTCTATGGATTTCTGTGCAATCAGACTGTTGAAACAGGTGCTGTGAAATGATTGCCCTCATACATTAGATAGATTATGAAAAGCAAGCAGGAAGAGATGTGCTCTGGAAATGATAGTCTTACAATTGGACCTTTCACAATGGAAACTATGTTACAAGGCTATTGTCAGGATGCATGGTCACAAGACATGGAAATACATGGACTGTAACAGTATGATAAAGCTCCAAACTCATTTTGTATAAATACCAAATATCTGCATTAGCAAAAATTTTTGGATTAAAATTAAATTACAATATTTAATTACCAAACATAATTCCTAAAGTTTGGTAAAAAAATAACATACTTTTATATGTTTCATGTGTCATAAAATATACATATAATTATGTAATACTGTGATCAGTCAACAGGACTTATGATGACAACAAGTCAAAGAAAGGTAAAGTTCAAGACAAAAAACAACAGCTATGTTCATCTCAAATATTTAACCTGTGTACAATAGGTTGTAGGGTTGGTCATAATTTTACTAAGAAACTTCTTTGGAAAGTTGTAATTATTCTATACTGAAAATGTATAGAATACTTCCCTCCCCTCACAAGATTAGCTTTTCCCATTTTGTGATGCCCTCTACATGCAAACTTTTTTTATAACGCTTGCAACAAGCCTTTCACACACCCATATTGGAATCAATATGTCTCTCATGCAAATCATCATGTGTCATCTCTCCAACTATAGAAGAGCACTACTATCAGGTGATACATGTGACTTATGCTATACATCACTACGGAACCATCACTTCGAAGTTTGGCAGATGATGTAAGCTCCAGAAGATTGTGGGGAGGAGGGTGGGAAGTGTGAGAGGAGGAAAGTACCTATTGGAAATATATTTTCAATATAGGAAAATTATAACTTCCTATACTGTATTTTCCTCCACTCACAAGATTAGCTAGAATCCCACATTGAAAAGGGGGAGGGACCAGTGCTAGAGAGAACAGACATACCCCCCGAAAGCATCCAAAGGATACTTCTGTAGATGAGAGAAACAGATCAGATGATCTGAGGATAGGCACTGCACCACTTCTGAACCAGATATCTCCTCACCATGAACAGCTAAGAACAAACATGGTGGAAAAGGAAGCACATCCAAGTGGGAGAGGATAAGTCAGGAAAGTGATCCCAACCGGATAAATATCGAAACTCAATCCCATAGAAGTAAAATGGGTAATGGAGGTTACTTCCCATGATGTAGAATGACTAGGGCATGGCAGATCATACTCGGTAAGTCAACTACATCGAAAATCTCCTAGCTGGGTACCAACATCTGTGGGTGGGTAGGATGAGGATCATACTGACATTACCTCAGACCCCAAAATCATGGATGTGAGGAAAACATCGACTCCAGGGCACAACACAGGATTAGCAATGAGTCAGAGATCCGGGAATGTGTCATCCAGTATCAGAGGGAAGTCTATCGCATGCAATCAACTCCCACAACTGTGAGACTGATCCAAAACGTCCAAAGGTCAATAACATCTTCGTCGCAGGAGAGAACTTGGGAGTGCCCAGGACAGAAACATTATACATATACCCTCCATCACCAACTACATTGAAGGAAGAATCAAGGGAGGAAGCTGGACAACCCCAAACCTGTGTGAGGACTTAATTTGATTGGTTCACTCTATATCAAAAACCAGCCCACGGGGTACCGATATCTGTGTGAGGGTAGGGCGAGGGCACCCACTTGAAGGGGTGAACTGCATTTAGTTGTCTCACTCCATGGTATGTGTCATTCAATCTGGAAGATTTTATGCCTTCTACATCAAAATAACACCACCACCCTACTCTGAACTGAATCGTTATAGCCATCTATGTGGAACCCATCCAGCAGGATGCCTCCATGGTCAACCACCTCAGCAGCTTGGAACTGACAAGTGGTAAGGACTCCTATATTCTACTGGAAGAAAGGGGGTAAATGCATTAAAGAGTCCGAAGGAATGCCTACACCCGAGACAGTGCAATGGGTGATCACAAAACCCTATTTTGAAAAGCAGACCATATTAATTTATTCAATCAAGGCATGGCAGGGATTGGCAGTTATCCCCTTCGACTTTACCCATGTCATTCATGGGTGATTCAGTCTGGAATGGGCCTATTTATGAAGCAATATCATGAGGTTATTGACCATCCAGTGATTTTGTGAAACACCCCACCTCGAAGGTGATCATGCAGAGCCATGAAAAGAGTGCATGAATCAACATGGCGTACAGTGAGGATTTGTTTATGTATGTAAAGAATACGTGGTCAGACACCACCCACCACAGAGCAGGGTCCAAGTGACAAAATTCGAAGCAAGGGCCCTTGAAAGAAAAGAAAGCATTAATAAAGACTTACCTATTGTCATATCCACACTGAAGTACGAAATATAGCCATAGGTGGTAGATAATACCCTGAGGAAGCAGAAACTGCGATTTGATGTAAGTAATGGGAGATAAGGTCTGAGGGGTGGTCCACATGCCCAACTGCAGAATCTCCTCTAAAGGATGGCGAAGACGAGAAGCAAGGGGAAAGGTGAGGTGTTGGATTTGATGGGAAGTAACACAGAACAAAGCTCATTGGGAAAGGGACAAGGAGGATTAAGCTAACTGGATTAACTGACAAACCCATTTGGTAAGAGTAAAAGGAGAAAGATCCCAAGAGGAAGAGGGTTGCCATGGGATAAAGAGATGGTAATGGGAACCCTTGAAGGAAGCCATGTGGGCAATATAACAAATAAGGGCAAACATTGGGCATAGAAGTCTATCTGTATCAAGATGAGGGTAGAGATGAGAAATAGAAAATGGAAAAGTTACCCTCACGAGCCACCGAGGTCTTGGGAAGGAAGGAACATTCCAGATAAAGGAGAAGATAGGTTTGGTGGTACAGTGCATGACTTTGATAGTGAACAGATCCAACTGACGCCACCTGCACATCAAGAGTAGAAGAAGATATGCCTTAAAGGATAGGTGAAACAAAGAGCACAAGGCAATGGGCTCAAACAGAGGTAAAGTAAAGTAAAGGAAGACCACATTAATGTCCGAATCTGGAAGTACCAGATGGACGCCAAGGCAGCTGACAGATCCAGAAAGAATGGACCAAAATGGCAAGGACAGGGGAAAGATAGACCCTGCTGTAAAGGAAAAAATGGAAAGTATCGGATAACCTGTTATTGAGTCGACAGAAGACCTCTTCTCAAAAAAGCCATGTAAGAAACTCGGAGATATTAGCAACCATAGGATGAGAAGATGGGATACCCTGAGCCAGGACCCAGGTGTGAAAAACATTTAATTTCCAATGATACAAAGCCATGGATGAAGGACGAACAGAATGAGCTAAATGAGATGTCACCCAAAAGCCAGGAATGAAGATAGAGGACGTGAATTGTGGGATGCAGAATCGGTGACTGAGGATGATGAAGAACTTCGAGGAATAATGGAAGAGGGATGGGAGGGAAGAACTGTAGCTGGAGCAGTCGAGGAAACCATGGTTGAGTGGGCCAGTAAGGAGCAATCAGAAGGGCTTTGCACAGAGTGATATGGATGAGGGAGACTACCCAATGAAATAATTGGATAGTAGTTTAAACATAAAGGAACTTGTTCAACCAATCTTGGCTGAAGGAATCTATAACCAAAGCCCAAGGATGGGAAATGGAGACAAAAATAAAAGTAACTGATGATTGAGGGCAGTGGCAAATGCATCAATATGAGGAATACCCCAACGATCACAAAGCCACTGAAAAACAAGTGGATGAAGGGACCACTCCATCAGGTAAACCCGGTCAGGTTAGGAAAAACGATCCACCACGAGGTTGAAAGCACCTGGTATATGACACACTATCAACTGAATGTGATAATCGTGGGCCTAAAAGAGAAGATCCAATGTTAAAAAACACAGGGATCTTGACTGGGTGCCACCTTGATGATTTATATGAGCCACTATTGTTGAATTGTCAGAATGTATCATGACCAGAAGATCTCTAGAGATGTGAAGAAAGTGATTCAAAGCCCAATGAACAGCAAGGAGTTTGAGGATGTTGACATGAAGAGAATGTTTCCCGACAGACCAATGACCCGAAGCCTCCTGGTTATCAACCCACACACCCCAGCCATGAAGGGATGCATCTGTGAACAAATGTAAATCTGGTCACAGAGGAGGAAGTGGGACACCCACTTATGTTTGAGCCTTCTCCAACCACCATTGAAGATCATCCACAATGTAGGAAGGAGGGATTACAGGGGTATCCAAGTGACCATAAGCAAGGTTCCATTTGTTGTGGAGGACCCTTTGAAGGGATCACATACAAGCCTGGGTAAAAGGTATGAGAGGAGTCACACAAGATCACACCCCCAAAAGTGATAGAACCTCACAAGCAGAGAATGAAGGAGCAGACAGGGCATTCTGAATGGCCAGTTCCATAGAACAGAGCTGGACAGGAGAAGGTTGGGCCCAACTGAGATGACTTGAAGAAAACACCCAAATGTACGGGGTACTAGGTAGGATGAAGGAAGGACTTCTTCAATTTGATCAACCAGCTTACCCAAGAGGAATTGAGAAAGAGCTGACGAGTATGACAAACCCAG